TAGAATAACCATCTTTTTATTCTCCAGAAAACAAACTTAAGTGCCAATTGAAATTTTTTTTTTTTTTTTTTTTTTTATTTGCATTCACTCCCAACAAGGCTGCAAGCAACCACTATTAGGTTGGGAATTACTAGGAAAAAAAAAGAACAGAGTTATAGAGCAAGGAAACGGTTGACAGAAGACTTAAAAAGTTGAAGGTTGTATGAGTCAGGAAAACATGAAGATGGGAGAGAGTTCCAAAGGATTGAAGTGCGGGGAAAAAAACTAGATGAATAAAAGTTTTTAGAGCATGCAGGAACAGATACAGAAAACGAATGAGACTTAGCTGAATGACGAGTAAAACGAGAATGAATTTTAGTTGATGGAACAAGAGATGATAACTCTTTTGAGCAGTGACCATGATAGTATCTGTAGAAAAGAGAAAGAGATGCAACTTTACGACGATGAGAAAGAGGTTCAAGTTTAGCAGATAGTCCAGGTCCAACAACATTTACAATGCGTTTTTGGACCTTGTCAAGAAGAGAGAGTGAATCGTTAGAAGAACCAGCCCAAATATGACAACAGTATTCCATACAGGGACGAATAAGAGATTTGTAGAGGTAGAGAATGGAATCAGAAGTAAGGAAATGGCGAGCACGATAAAGAGAAGCAACCTTAGCAGAAGCTAATTTAGCAATCGATTGTATATATGGTTTCCATGAAAGGTCAGTAGTAAGCGACAATCCAAGAAGACGTAAAGAGGACGACTCAGTAAGAGGATTGCCATTCATTAATATAGGAATGTTGACCATATTACGGTAGTTGTTTGCAGTAAGCAATTGGGTTTTTTTAGAGTTGAAATTCACAAGCCACTGTGAACCCCAATCTATTACTGAAGTGAGATCAGATTCAAGATCAGCTGCTTGTTCTAGGCGATCGAAAAGAGAAGACTTTTTGTCAAGACAGGAGTATAAAGTTGAGTCATCAGCAAAAAGAGCTACTTTAGATGAAAGGTTGTCAGGAAGATCGTTTATGTAGATAAGAAACAAAACAGGGCCCAGGATGGAACCTTGGGGAACCCCAGAAGTTACTGGAAATAAAGAAGAGTGTTGGCCTTCAAGGATGACTTTAATAAACCGGTCAGAAAGAAATGATTTGATAATCTCAAAAACTTTCCCAGAAACACCATATGAAGCAAGCTTAAGGAGAAGACCAGCATGCCAAACTTTGTCGAAAGCTTTAGATATGTCGAGAGCAATAGCCCTAGCCTCACCGCCTCCATCTAATGCACGATAAAATCTTTCAGTTACAGCAGTTAGCAAGTCGGCCGTAGAGCGAGAGGATCGAAAACCGTATTGATTGTCTGACAGCAGTTTATTTGACTCAAGATGAGATGTGAGGAATTTGTTGATTAAAGACTCAAAGACCTTGCTAATAACAGAAAGAAGACTGATCGGACAATAATTGGTGGGGTCAGAATTTTCTCCAGAGTTTTTGAATATTGGAACCACAGATGCCATTTTCCAACAAGCAGGAAAACAAAACTCAGTCAAACACTTGTTAAATAGTTTAGAGAGAATTGAAGAAAGTTTTCGAGAACAATTCTGCAAGACTGTGACAGGAATGTTGTCTGGACCACAAGCTGTAGACGAGTTTAATTGAGATATGACTTTAGCAACAGAAGCCGGAGTGATTTGAATGTCTAACAATGGGTCAACCTATTTGACTGGAATGGAAGGAAGAGAATGTCCATAAGATTCAAGAGTGGAATTAGAAGAAAAGTTCTTTGCAAACAGTTCTGCCTTATCCCTGGGAGAGGTAACAAGATCAGTCCCATGAATGAGAGATGGAATGTTAGATCTACCCTTGTTAACAATGCTGTTGAAGATTTTCCAAAAGTCTTTAGAGCCTAACTTCTGCGATAAGATGCGAGATTTAGTGAACTGAGAATAATGGAGTTTAGCATCAGAAAGCACCTTTTTACATCGATTTCTTGCAATAATAAATAGCCGTTTGTTCTCAAGAGAGTTGTTCTTTTGAAAAAGATGAAAAAAATGGTTACGATTGGATATAGCAGCCGCACAAGAAGGAGAAAACCATGGAGTAGAATGAGGCTTGACTTGAAACCGACGAGAAGGAATAAAAGCTTCCATTCCAGCCTGAATCCAGGAGGTTACGTAGGAGGCACATTTGTCAGCTGAGAGAGAAAAAACATCAGCCCAAGGAGCATCACGAAGAAAATCACGAAAGGAATCCCAGTCAGCTTTAGGGTAGTAGTAGGTGGTGCGATGATAAGGTGAGCCCAAAAAAGAAGTACGAGAAGAAAGATTTATAGAGATCATTGCATGGTCAGAACCACCTAAGGGAGAAAAGGGAGAAACTGAACATAAGCTAGGGTCAGAGACAAGACATAAGTCAAGGAGTGAAGGTAAATGATTAGGGTTGTCAGGAAAACGAGTCACAAAGTTAACTATCTGAGTAAGAGATTGAGAAACGCAGAAGTTAAAGGCTTTAGTGCCAGCAGGATCAGTGGTGTTAGAGCCAAGCCATTCAGTGTGATGGGCATTAAAATCACCAACAACAACAATATTGGCAGAGGGGTAAAGAGAGAGGGCATGGTCAATTTGATCAGAGATAACATCTAAAAGAGTGCAATCATGGGAAGAAGGAGAACGATAAAGAACAAAGAGAAAGCTGATAGAGTGAAGAGGTGCTAGGCAAAAGCACATAAAAGAATGGTCAAAGGATTCGAACCTGATTTTACGACAAATAGGGGAATTAATGCGTATGTATACCCCTAAACCTAGCATGTGACTATTGGAGTCTTTACGAATCAAAGGATAGTACCCATCAACACTGACATCTGAAGAAGGAATTGCAGAACTTAAATTTGTTTCACTGAGTGCAAGCAAGTCTGGTGAATTTTGCAGGAGGTAAGACTCAACTGATGGAAAGTTGCTTCGTAGACCGCGAATATTTGTAAAAGATATATTAGAATATTTAGGTGGTGGAAATGGTTTTTTAGGTTTTAAATTTTTGGTTACTTTGGTCATGATTTGGGTTTAATGAGAACTTGACTCATTCATAGATAGAGCACAGCCTCCTAATCAATGAGCTATGCAGTTGTAAATATTGAGAATACTGACAATAAAGATGTTGTTTCCGAAGAAAAATTCTGAGTACATAAGCAGACAAGTTCCTAAAAAGTCATTGAATATGAAAGAAGTTGCATTAGCATCATTAAAACATGGTTTATTAAATAAAGCAATTGCTGCAATTTCAACACATAAACTGAAAGCAGTTTAAGGCTTTTTTAAAACAAATTTGACTGACAATGAAATAGTGACAGATCATAAATTAAACACTCTTAATTAAAATGGAAAAAGCAATTAAAATCTAAAAATAATGATATGATAAAAAAGATGGAGTTCAATTTATAATGTTTGATGGGAGAAAGGATGAGAAAATTTTCTTTGATTGGAGAAGATGGAAAATTTTACCACAGACTTGTACAAGAAGACCATTATTCAGTTTGTGCAAAGCCAGGTGGTTTATATCTGTACTATTTTACAAATGACAAATAAAACAGATCTGAGTTTATTACCCCAGCAGAGAATATAGCAGAACATATATTTAATTTTTTTTTTTTTTAACATCTTCGCTTCCAACAAGGCTGCAAGCAACCACTAATTAGTGTTGGAAGTTACTGGAAGAGAAAAGATGAAGATTGAAGAGCAAGATAATGATTGACAGACGACTTAAAAGATTGCAAATTATATGAATCAGGAAAGCAAGATGAAGGAAGCGAATTCCAAAGAACTGATGTTCGAGGATTTGGATTATAGAACATGGTATAGAACTTACTCTATTTGCTGTTGGCTGTGATTCAACTAATTATAATACAACTAAATGTTTGATAATAAATACAGGTAAATATTCAATGTTAAACGCCATGCATATATTTAAATAAGTATTATTTAGTCTAGAAGGTAGTGAAAAATCAATCATAATATTCTTTTATAAAAAAGTGGGGACGCTGCCCCATCATTCATATATTTAAATTAATATACCTGCAGATTAAAATCCTAATATTTTCTGAAAGTTTAATGATTATATATACTTTTTTGATATTATCAAGGCAACATGGGGTTTTTGATAATTAAAGGTACTTAATAATATATATTTTTAAACATTTCTAATCATTTTATTGGATTTGTCACCCCTGAAAATAGCCAAATACAAATTTGTAAGTAAAAAGATCAAACATTTTAAAGTTATGTAATTTGAAACCTCTAAGTAAACATTGTAATTCTGAGAGGACAAGAGGCCTGACCAATATTTGCTAAAATTAAAAGAGTCATTTATATTATAGGATCTCCGAGCTAGATGCTAAAAATGTCAAGGAATTCTTATTTTACTAATTATTTCCAACTTTATAAAAATCAGTAAAATCTGAGTTATACGGTATTATTTTAAAAAATTTCTAGGCCAAATGACACAGAATTACCTCACAGCTCTCCAGCCCATATTTGATAAGTTAAACTAAACAATGTATATTTAATTGACTTATCTATGCCGATTACTTGCCATTTTTAAACAATCAATAACTTGAGCATGCTTCTTAAAATTAATTTGCCATTTTAAATTTAAAATTTTATATTAGTTTTAAAAAATTAGAATAAAAACGCAGTATAGTTATTATAGAAAAATAACATAAAAAAGTACAAAATAAAAAAATTTCCCTAATTTTCAGAATTTTTTTCCCCTTGATTTTCCCTGATTTGGTGGCAACCCTGTAACAAATCCATGTATTCAAAATTCTTTAATTAAATTAAATTTTAATAATTTGTTTATTTTTAAAATACTGTATTATAGCCCTTTATCCAATAATATATAACAATTTAGTTTTTAGTAAATTTAAAAATTTCATGTAACAAGTAACTCCTTGAGTAACTTTAGAGTAAGATTTTTTTTTAAAGTTACTCAATACAATTTTGAAAATTTTAAAAGTAGAATTTCACCTGTTCCAGAGGATATATTCATGGAGGAATATCCTTCCTTGGTGACCGATGTTGACATCGTTACTACGGTTTTAAACAGAGTAATTTGGTTTTAAACAGCAACTCAAATGAAAAACACAAGTAATTGAAAAAATAATTGCATTTGTTGTTTTGTGATTTTTACAGAACACGTTACATTATTATATTAATGTGGCGACTTAAATGAGAATGAATACAAAATTTACTTAATAATTTAAATAATATAATCACAACGCAAATAAGATTAATTTTTTTTATTCCGGCAACCGAACAGTTTTTTAAAAATTGCAATTTTATTTGATGACAAAATTAATCAATTGCGTGAAAAATTATCTTACTATATTAAAAGTATATATATTATATTTAAATTACACTTTGTTTATTAAAAATTTGTTATAATAATTTAAAATAAATATTAAATGTATTTTGATACGCTTTATAAGCTGACATTATAGAAACCGAAACAACTAAAGTATTAATTACTTTATCAAATAAGCGCTCAAGTTACGATTTAATTCATGAACAAATAAAAATTGTTTTTAATGGGAGATAAACATTCGTGGTACATAGGCACGTGCTCTAAGACCTTGCGACACATCCTCAGAAATTTTTTACCAAAATCTTTTTTTCTCACCTGGGACCTTAGGAGAAGTTACGTATTTAAGGTCAATACCCAGGAATTTAGTTGTTTAAGATAGGTAGCTAAGAGACATGAGGCATCAATACATTTTCGATAAAAGATCGTACAATCAAGGTGATTTACAAATAATTAAACTCTAATCTTAAGTAAATACCATGAAATAATATTAATAATACAAATAATAATGATAATAATAATGAAGATAAATTGACAATTATAAGAATAACAAGAAAATTATATAATAATAAACCAATATCAATTTTAAAACAATAATTGAATATTACGCTCAAACAGGAAAGCTACAAACAGTTACTAACATAACGTAACAACTTACCTATTTAACTAAAAAAATTACTGCAAAAAGCGTAACAATGATTTAATAAATATAATAATCTAATTATCAATATTCATAATAACAACAATAAAAGTAATATAAATATTTCTTTAAAATATAGCATATTACTATACCAGCTTTTTAGAAATTCTTTAATTAAAATATACTTAATTTTATGCATAATCCCAATTCTTTTAGATATTTTGTTTTCAAATAACTTAGTGTGCCCTTTCGAGCTATTATGCTTATCTAGAATCAATCTTAGAAACTTCAAAGAAAATTCTCTTCTTAATTTTGTTTTTTCATCTAAAATATCTGGAAGTTTTAATGGTAATGTGTCTGACTTTAACAGTTTTGTGAAAAATGTATTTGCTTGCTTCGATGTTCAAGGAACGTTAGCCTTCAACCAATCGCTTAACTCTTTAGGACCCTGATTTACGGTGTTAAAAGTAGTATTTATATTTGAGGTGGGTGTAGAAAGCTTAGATATAATCAGCAAAAAGAATAAAGTTTAGTAAACGAGAAGAAAAATTGTTTAGATAGCAACTAAACCTATTTAAATTTTTATCTTTTATACCAAGTTTTTTTATAAGTTTTTATAGAAGGATCTTTTGAACCACTGTATTGAAAGCATTTGACAAATCGATAAATACTCCAAGTGTATATTAACTTTTGTCAAACCAATTCAAGATTTCGCTAACTTACTCTATTTTTGCATGTTCAGTTTAATGGTTTTTTTAAATCCGTATTGGTTATTAAAAAGGATATTGTGATTTTTAAGGTATTCAAAAAGTCTGTTGTACATTATGCGCTCTAGTACTTTTGAAAAGCGTGGAAGTATGGAAATTTAAGTAATTTATAAAGTAGGGTTATCTCCGCTTATGAATATCGGAAGGTATGGGTTTTTCCCTCAAAAAATATTCTGCCGCTATTGGTTACAATGTATAGTTCAAGTCGAACTTAACTTTAAGTTCGCATATACAGAATGGTACAATAACATCATTAACTTCTTTTACCTAAGACCTAAGAGCTTTTGTTATCAAGGCTCAGACTCTTTTTTATTGTATTGTTTTAAATTTTTTTTTTTTTTTTACAATGTTGTGATTCTACACGACAGGTACAATCTTGTAATGTTTTTAAAATATATAATACTAAAAATATATCACAATTTTATAGAATACAGAATATATGATTGTAGGGTATCATTAATATTATAAGAACGCGGGAAACTTGCAGTAGACCAGATGGCCTTGTCATCAAGAAACCGCTTGTGCTTGTAATATTTTTTGCATTTTCGTTTTACAATGTATCTATCTTCACAAAATACTTCAATTTATATTAGGTTCACATATAATAAAATGTAAAAATAAAAAACTTGGTAAACGCTGTTTGTAGTACACATATTGCACACAAATATATTATTAGGCATAAATATAATTATTACTGACTTATATTGATTTTTTATATTAATATATATTATTGAAGTTTTTTTAGATTTTGTTTTCAATTATAATTTTGGTTTTACTTTTAGTTTTAGTTTAGTGTTAGTTCAAATAATTGTTGATATTTAAAACGAACTTTTTTAGTAAGATTTTCAAACAATTTATGTTATCTAATTTTGTAATAATGGCATTTTTGGATATCAGTTTATTATAGAGATAGGGACCGCGATATGAAATTGTGAAACGCGAAAGTTTTGTTTTTCTGAACGGTACATTAAAGTTTCCTACTTCTCTAGTGTCATATCTATTTTTATTGCTTTTAAAGAATTCATTTAAGAAATGTGGTGGGACAACCCTGAGTTTAAATTTTAGCATGAAGAGTAAGTTTTGGTAAATGTTAATTCTATGGACGTTTAGAATTCTATAGACGTTTAGAGCATTTAGGAGTTTAAACAAAGGTTCAGCATGAGTGAGTTTATCTTTTTTATAGACAGCTCTAATGGCATGTTTTTGATGTTGATAAAGTGATTTTAAATTAGATTTATGGGTACTGGCCCATGCTATATTACCATATGTATAATAGGTATGTATAAATGAAAAATAAAGATGTTTTAGATTTTCTTGGGATAACATTGGTCTAGCTTTGAATTGCACGCCAATGTTTTTGGTTATTTTAGTGTTTAAATAGTCAATATGGGCTTTCCATGAAATATTTTGATCAATAAGTAAACCTAGAAATTTAGTTTTTGTGATTCTTTCGATATTTTTGTTTTTTATTCTTAGCAATGGCAACATATTTGGTAGTGTTTTTCTTTTTTGATTTGGATGGATTAAGATAGATGTAATTAGTTTTTTTTGTGTTTAAAAGTTTATTAGATTTTAGTCAAATATTAAGTTTTTCGAGTTCAATATTCGTTGTTTCAAAAAGTTCTGTAACTGACGGGGATGAATAAAATAAATTAGTGTCATCGGCAAACATTATGACATCAAGTTTGTTTGAGACTTTCGGAAGATCGTTAATGTATAATAAAAACAGTAAGGGAGCTAGAATGGAACCTTGGGGAACGCCACATTTGATCTTTAGCATTTTTGAACAGATATTTTCATCAGTATTTACACATTGTTGTCTGTTAAGCAAAACGTTTTTAAACCAGAACAACATTTTTTACGCCATATTTTTCCCTTTTTTGGAGCAGGATTTCATGATCAACAGTATTGAATGTTTTTAATAGATCTATAAAGATTTCTAGAACGAATTCGTTATTATCAAATAAGTATTTGATGCTATTTACAAGATCTATGATTACATGTTCGGTTGCATGTTGTTTTTGAAATCCAAACTGTTTTTTATTTAAGATTTTATTGTTTGTTAAATATATGTATAGTTTATTATAAATTATTCGTTTGAGAAGTTTTGAGATTACAGGAAGGATTGAGATTGGTCAATAGTTGTTTACTACATTGCTACAAATTTCATCAATTCCTGGTGCTTTGTTAATTTTTAAAGAGTTTTTTGCATTTTCGAGTTCTTCATAGCTTAATCCATTGAAAGGATTAGTTCGCTATTTAGATCTGTAAAATAATTTTCGAACGATTTGTAGTTAAAATTTTAGACGCCATGTTTGGGCCTATGTTTGCAAAGAAATTGTTGAAGTGTTCGGCAATTGAGTTCTTATCATCGTGTTCGATTTCGTTTATAATAATTCTATCTGGTAAACTATTTGTTTTTTTGTTTTTTTTTTCCCGATTATTTCTTTCATAATGTTCCATGTTTTTTTCATGTCTCCATTTGTTTTTTGAAGTAATTTAGAGTAGTAAATTTTTTTAGAATGTTTTTTGATTTTTTCGAAAAGATTTTTGTATTGTTTATAAGTAGATTATTCTCATTTCTCTTTTTCAGATATTTAACGTTTAATTTTTTTTTTGTTTTTGAAGATTTTTTAATTCCACTGGTGATCCATGGGCAGGTCAAATATTTTACTATGATTTCTTTTTCTTTGATTGGAAAATGGTTATTATAATGCTTTAGAAAAATATCTGTAAAAGTATTATATGCAGAGTTTGTGTTCCCAAGGTTACATTCTTGATACACTTTAACCCAATCTACTGCCGATAGTGTGTCTTTAAAATTTTGAATAGAAAATTTATTTATTTTTCTTTTATAAGTTATTTTTTTCAAATTATTATTTACTCTTGTATCATTTGTTATTGTAAAGTATATTGGGAAATAATCTGTTATATCAATTTTTACTATTCCTGCTTTTAAGGAGGTATCTAGAAATGAGTTTGTTAGTATGTTATCTATGGCAGAAATAGAATTTAAGGTTACCCGTGTGAGTTTATTAATAATTGGTAAAATACAATGTTGAAACATGTTATCAAAAAATAATTTAGTAATCGGAAACTCATTGTATTTTAAACAATTTATGTTGAGGTCCCCAGTACAGAATCACTTTTTTTGTTCTTTATTGATTATGAGAAAAATTTCTTCTAGATAATTAGAAAAGGTTTTAATATTACCTTCAGGTGGTCTATAACAGGAAAAAACAATAATATTTTTAAACTTGGAGTTTACAATTTCTATCAAAAAGAAAGTGTAGCGCTATTTTTTAAAATTTCGTGTAAATATTTTATCGTATTTTAAAATGGCGTATTTACCTTCGCTTCTTAGTTTTTTGACTTCTTCCCATAACTTTCTTCGATGATATATTGTTTCTTGAGCGAAATCTTCATTTATGTATAGTCTAGTTCCTTTAAGTTGTTTTACTGCTTTGAGAATTTTGTTTTTGTCTTGGTAGTTCAAGAGTTTTAAGACTAATGTTCTTGGTTTGTTTTCTTTAAATTGTCCGATTCGATGAGTTCGTTCGACCACCACTACACTAGGTATTTTCAATAGTGTTTTGAAAATGTCTTTAACAGCTTTTTCGCAATCTTCCCAGCTTTCGCCTGGTGTTTCTTGTAGCCCATCAATTCTTAAGTTGTTCCTTCTTGATCTATTTTCTAGATCTATAGATTTTTTATATAGTGAATTGATTTCTTTGTCATAGTATTTCTTTATTTGTGATTTTTTTCCGAGATATAATTTTCTTGAAAATTTAGGCTGTCCTTAATGTTGCATAAGTCTTTTTCTATATTTTATATTTTTGTTATTAATGTCTTTCTCTAGCATGTCCAATCTATCTGTAATAATTTTGAGATTTGCACTGATAATTGAGGTAAATGATTTTTCCTTAATAATCTTAATTTCTTGGTCTTTTAATAATCTTTCCGTTTCTTTTAGGATACTTTTTTTGTGCTCCTCAAGTTTACTTGAAATTCTTTTTTCAATGTTTTTCATTGTGATGTCCATTTTTTTTTTATAAATGCTAAATCCACACTACAAAAACACGTCTGTTCACTTCACGCAACTCACGCAAGTCAGGGTTAGGGCCAGGGTTAGGGTTGCATGCATTCCGGAAATGCATTCCGAAGCTCATCAGATTTCAAACTCGTCCACTACAAAGTCCATTTCTTTTAAATATGATTTAAATATTTTTTTTACTTTGAGGGTTTGCTTTTTTTTTTTTTAGCATAACAATTCTTTACAATACGTGAAATATAAATAAAAGGTTAATAAAAAGACTCCAAGAAAATCATATAGATCTTATCACAAATCCCTGAAAAATTTAATAGGTTCAACAGTATTTAAATAGCATAATTTTACAATTTTCGTAAAGTTATATACATTGCAGTTAAATACATTAACAAATTTAAAATAAAACAAATAATATTTAATTCTTAGAAATAGATAAAGATGTTTTTTAGTAAAAAAAAAAAAAGTTTTAACTTTAGTTTGAATTAATTAAAGGAAACTTAATAGAAAAATTGATATTATGAATAACTATTTTAATCCATAAATATGGACCACGAAAAGAAATACACAATTGATTAATCTTATTTTGACAAATAAGGGCATTGAGATTATTATCAGTACGAAAATCATATTTTTTTTTGAAAATTATTATCAGTACGAAAATTTATTTTTGGGTTTATTAGCTTTTATTATGTTTTTACAATATTTATAAAATAATTGTTTAAGCTTCTATCAATGTTTTTTTAATCATTAATTTGTTATTGGAACTGTAAACCTAGGTTACTTTAAACGTTTTTGAGATATTTTTACTTGCTCTTCCTTCACTATTCGAAATTTAACAAAATGAATATAGGGGCTGAGATTGACTCTTACATAGTTCAAATTCAAAATAATATTTAAATAAAAGGATTTTGTATAATATTAATTTAAATAGTTACCCCACAAATGGGGTAACTTTGAAAATGTTTTTTGTAAAAGCAAAACCTATTCAAAAACGCTTTGTTTTGTTATAAAATTTAATTAAAACAGCAGTCTAATTTCACAGTCGTTTATTATTGCTAAAATAATATAAAATTATTTCAAAACTAACACCCATTTATCTCATTTGCATCAGTTTCACTTACAAACTATGCAAGTGAAACATCTTTACATTTTGCGAAAAAATCATCAAAAAAAATATTTTTAACAAAGTCAAAAGTAATTTTTTTTTCTTTTTGAGCCTGCTTTTTCCTTGACATCAACTTGAAAAAATTGTTTAAGTACATTAATTATTAATTACATTAGTTACTGCTCGGCGTACTAAAGTTATGACTACCATCTGGCAAATAATTAAAGATGATATTTATATCTCATGGGTACATCCCATATTTCTTTTAAAAACACTAAGCAAATAAGCTGCTGATTACCTTTTGATTTGACAAATATGATCATTATATATAAATAAAGAACAAAGGAAATTTTATTTTTTGTAATTGTCTTTGTCTTTTTTCTAAAATAGAGGTTTTCAATTGATTAAGTATTATACTCCGATATTTTTGAAGAGATCTAATGCAATAAATAGGTAGAGTTACTAGATAATGTTTTCTTCTCAACAAGATACAATTTTCTTTTGTAAATTCAAGTACCTTTTTACTGAAAAGATGGCTTCGATTATAACTAATAGGAATGTTTGGGTTAGGGTTAGGGTTAGAGTATAAAAAATAAACAATAACAATAACATATAATAACATTATATATTATTGTTATTTTTTGTCAAAAAAATATTTTGACAAAAAATAACAATAACAAACAAATACAATTTGACAAAAAATAACCAATAACAAACCAGTCAAAAAAGTGAATAGAATCAAACCGTCCTTATTTTGATTATATTTTTTATTGCATATGAATTAGGTGGTCTACTTCCTTTTTTTGTGTGCATAAATGGTCACCTTTATAGACATAACCAGAGACAATTTGACCAGAGGCACTAAACATGATTGATGTAACATAACATTTTGTACAGTTGCTATATTTTGCATATTTGTAAAAACTATGGATTTTCCATGTGTTTTCGGATTAAGCAGGCCCGGTTTTAACAGTTTTCTATGTGTAGGCGAGATGCAAATTTGCCGCCGCAAAAATTAAAAATGCAATAATTTCCAATTTGAAGGAAAATAGAAAAAACACTGAAAATCAAACTTTAATATAGAAAATAAAAAAACTCAATTTATACAAAAATAAAAAACAAAACAAATTCCATTCATGAAAAAATAAAAAACAAATCGTAATTAAAAGTGAATTTTCCTAGCTTTTAATTCTGCGAAATCTTTAACCAAATCTTCTATGTCCAAATGATCAGCAATTTCTTTCTCGATGGAAATCGTAGCTAGACCAACTAAACGATCTTGACACATTTGTGATCTCAAATAGGATTTTATTATTTTCAGCTTTGAAAAGCTTCCTTCAGCACTAGCAACTGTGACTGGTAACGTTAGTAGTATGCGAAAAGCTATCGAAAGGTTTGGGAATACTTCGACAACATTAGATGTGTAAATACATTTTAATACACTTTTTGGATCGCTATTGGAAGTATCAAGTCGTCTCCCAATAGCTTTAATTTCATACCAAAGTTCGACCCCGTTGATATCAGATTGGCCATCAGACATAAGCGCTAAATGCAAGTCCTTACAGTGTTTCAATAATTCATCATCCGTTAAGGGTTTGCTGCCGATATTGTAAAGAAACCCAAATAACTCGTTATATTCCGATAATTGCGTAAATCTTTCATTTATTGCTTGAATTGCGATGTCCAATATTCGATTGAAAAAAGATACTCTGAAGTTTTGTTCTGGTGATACTATCGGTTCATCACGACCTTCGTATAGGAATTGTCTACTCTTTCTGCGTACGCGATCATCCACATCAAATCCTTCAAAAATTTCTAGTTCAACTGCCAATTTTTTTGTATTTTCAACCATTGCGGCAAATTCTTCATCACAGCGATAATCGCATAGAAAAGATTTGGTAGCGTTTAAATGCTCTAGAGCAAGCGACAAGTCTAAAGCCTGTGATTGGAGCATTTTGCTGACAATATTAATTTGGAATAAAATGTCATACCACAATACCAAGGAGCAAACAAATTTGAAATTTGAAATATTTCTGGCTATTCCCTTAGCCTCTGCGCGACTCTTGACTTGTGGTGCAGTAGTTAATGTATTGTCTTCTGCGATTTCAATTAGTGCATCGTAAACTCCACTAATCTGAAATCGAAGTGCCCGTACGGCACCGACCCTGCTTTCCCAACGAGTGGCACTTAACGGTTTTATAGTCAGATCGCTTAGGTGGTTTAATAATATACTCCAACGGTGAGTTGATGCTGAGAAAAAGTTATAAATGCCTTGAATTAAATCAAAGAATGCGACAGCCTCCATACAACAATTAGCTGCATCGTTCAATACCAAGTTGAGCGAGTGGGCACTACAAGGAACGAAAAAAGCTCGAGGATTTAGTTGACGAATTCTGGCTTGCACACCATTATATTTTCCGCGCATGTTGGCTCCATTATCGTACCCTTGTCCCCTCATGTCATCAAGATTTACGCCTAATTCCTGCAACTTATCGATAACAACTTTTGTCATATTTGCTCCCGTTGTGTCTTGTAATTCTTGAAAAGTTACGAAGTGTTCAGAAACTACGACTTCAGCTGGTTTTTCCGAAGATGATTCAGTTGCAATGACAAACCTAAAAACAACTGCCATCTGCTCCATGTGGCTTATATCGGGGGTACAGTCTAAAATAAGTGAGTAGTACTTTGCTCGCTCTAGTTTTGCTAAGATGTCATTTTTGATTTTATTAGCAAGCGATTCAACGATTTCATTTTGAATAGTTTTTCCGAGATAGGTGGTGTGAATTTCACTTGTTGTTATTCGTTGAATATGTTTACTCATAATAGGATCATAATTTCCTAAGAATTCAATAAATTTAAGAAAATTTCCGTTATTCGGTTCGAAAAGCTTTTCACATGTTCCTCTTAATGCTAGATTTTGTCCAGCAAGAGTTCTAATTAACGTTATTATTCTTGCAAGAACTTGTCGCCAATGTTGAGTTTCAGATTGAATTATTTTCTGATTAATGTGATCAATTGTAGCCCCTGATTTAAGTCTCACCTCCAGATCTCTTCAATTTAGATATGCAGTAGTGTGGCCACTTGATGTTTCATGTCGTTTAATAATAACAGAAATATTTTTCCAATCTCGGCAGCCGTCATGCGATGACAGGGAGAATTTATTCGGACTAAATATCTTACAGCAAAAGCAAAATACAGTGTCTTTCGTAATGGAGTACACCAACCAAGTGCGTTTAATTTTATCGCCATTAGACATTCGGCGATAAAAATGAAAGCTTGAAAATTTTCTACCTTGTTCGTCTTCGGGAAATAAAGACGGCAATTTTTGAATTGGACCATACTTCATCAGCAATGCTTTAAATTTACCATCTATTATAGGCCATTTTGCCGGATCATTAAAATTAAGAGGCAAATCTTTATTGGTTTTGGGGTCTTCACCACTTTGATCTTCATTGTTTTCATTTTGTCCTATATCATCGACGTTCTGTACAACAACTTCACTTTAATTGGAGATAAATTCCACTTCATCAACATTTTCTGGTTCTTTAGCAGTATCATCATTTCCAGAATTTCTATATTCATTAACACTAACACTATCCGCATATTCTATTTCTCCACCGCTTTCGATTTCAATTTCAACTTCATTTTGGTTTGTAGTTGAAGCTACTATAGGTGCCAGTGCTTTTTCGCTTGATGACCTGCTCAAAAAGTGCAACAAAGCATTCTTCTGCTTGGCAGAATTTGCTTCACGTTGAAGCCTAATTTTCTTGTATTGTGACCCAGACAAGCGCTGTCTCTTACCACGTTCCATTATATTGTATCGTTTAAAGAATTTAAACTTAAAAAAAATATAGCATTGATACATATACCTAAATTTTTATATTTAATGATAATAATAATAATAATAAGTTTATTCAAATACATGAAAAAGAAAACGAAAAAACTAACTTTAACTACTTACTTATAAAAATTATTGTTAGACAAATATTAATCAATTTATAAAAGGGTATAATAATTTTTTGTTTTTTTCAAAGTTAAAGTTCGTTTAATAATACACTTTTATAACAATTTACAATAGATATCTCAAAGATAACTTCAATAAAATTTTTAAGAAAGTTTTTTAGGAATATTCTGGAACTTTAATTTGCTTAGTCAGCGTATTTTATGAACCAATAGAATTCGTTTGTTTGTATATTTGGCGGTTTGCTAACATCCATCCCTGAAAAAGAAAAAAGAAACTTTTTTTTACTGTTTCTTCTTCGCCAAATCCCAAATGTAAAACATGTATACAAACAAACACTTTTATTACAATATTATTTATTTGAAAAAATTAGTATGTATTAAAGTTCCCGTAAAAAAAAAATAATAATTTCTTGTTACAAAAAAAAAATTTAAATTTTTTTTTTTTTGGGAAAACACAAAATAAATTAAGAAAAGTGCCGCTCTAGAAAAGTGCCGCCGTCGGCTGTCGCCGACGTCGCCTACGCTTAAAACCGGGCCTGGGACTAAACTTTATAATACAAAGTGGCAACTTTGTATAATAAAGTTTAGAAACTTGATCCGAAAACACATGTTAACATCTATTAAGTTTTTTATCTAATAACCCAATTGACATCTATTAAGTTTTTTATCTAATAATGTTTCTTGTTACCGTAAATATTTGTAAACTAACACTCAGAATAAATTATATACTGCCTTGTATCAATTTTTTTTTTGTATAAAAGTGGGATAGTACTAGTATGAATCGCTAAATAAAAACAAATATAAAGATGAATAACATTACTTTCAACAAATTTAATTCAACATAATATTGAATGTACACAGACATATTATATGAAATATGTTTTTTATACAAGATTTAAAATTTGTATGCTCTCTGTAAAAACAGTATATACACACAGACACACACAAACATATAAATAAGAATATATATATATATAATATATATATATATATATATATATATATATATATATATATATATATATATATATATATATATATATATATATATATATACATATATATATATATATATATATATATATATATATATATATATATATATATACATATATATATATATATATATATATATATATATATATATATATATATATAAATATATATATATATATATATATATATATATATATATATGTGTATATATATATATATATATATATATATATACAGGGCCGGCGCGAGTAAGTGTCACGTGGGGGGGGGGGGGTGCCATTACAACTTTTGCCGACTAAAAAAAAAAAAAAAAAGGTCCTCGTTTTCCAAAACTTGCCGACTGTCATTACGAAATTTGCCGACTGTCTAACCTATATCGAAAGGGTCGACATTTGCCGACTAACTAGTCTAAAAAGGTCCGATTTGCCGACTAAGGGTCCAGTTTGCCGACTAAAAATCATTGATGGGGGGGGGGGGGGGTGTCACCCCCCCCCCATCAAAGCAACCCCCCCACACCACCCTATCGCGCCGGCCTTGTATATATATATATATATATATATATATATATATATATATATATATATATATATATATATGTATATATATATATATATATATATATATATATATATATATATATATATATATATATATATATTTATTTATATATATATATATGTGTGTGTGTGTGTGTGTGTGTATATGGCAAACAAACTTCTTTAGATTTTATATGCTTAATAAACTTATAAACAAAAACTATGCAACTTAGATAACAGGCTGCTACACTAGTTGAGGCAGTGTACAAAGTATTCTGATTAATTTTTTTGAGGAAAATATTCGAAATATTTAATTCATTTTTTAAGGAACAATAACAACCAATAAACAAAGTAAAACTTTAAATTATCAAAATATAAACTATTTTTAATACTTTGATGTTTGAGGTTTGAACATTTTCATATAAATTCTCGCCATAATTACAACTTGAAAAAAAAAAAGATTTGTATTCAAAGTTACCTCGCTATTTAAAGTAACCCCGGTTTACGGTTATTTAAATGGTTTGGCAAGATATTATGTGGATCAATCTTTTCCTCTCCTATTACATCTTTTATAATATCCCATATTTTTTTATTATTACCAATATTATTTTGTAAAAGATTCGAATAATAATTTTTTTAGCTTGTTTCTTAATTTTTTCAAAAAGGTTTTTAAAACTCTTGTACTTTTTTTCATTTTCGTAAGTTTTTTATATATATATATATTTTTTGTAGAGTTTTTGTTTTTTCTTTGAAGATTTGAAGAGGCCTTGTGAAATCCATGGACTTTGTTAGTTTTTGAGCTTTTTTCCTTGCTTTTGAAATGCTTTTACATTTGTTAAATGTGTAAGTTGTAAGTACATATGTTACATACATAAGTTGTTCTTTAAAAAATTTGAATGGATATTTATGAGAGATATTAAAGTAAGTTAGAAATGTTGAAATGTTACTGGAATACCCACTTTTTGTTTTAAACATAAATAATATTACTTGATAAATATTAGTCTAATATATAATAATTAAATACATATTATGTATTTAGTTATTGTTTATAAGACTAATATTTATCAAGTAATATTATTTATGATTAAAGAAAAAAATTAAAGAAAAAGAAAAATGTGAGATTTCCATTTCAACGTTTCAATCTTATTTTAATATCTCTCGAGAGTTGTTCATTAAAAAATTTGTTCATTCAAAAAATATGTAAAAAAGTTGTTCATTAAAAAATTTGTTCATTCAAAGTTGTTCATTAAAAAATTTGGTTGGATTTTTATAAAATCTAATAAAAAACCCAACCAAATATTTTAATGAACAACTTTGTCATTCCCATAAACTTAAGTTAAGTCATAGTCATAAGAAATATATAGTCTGGAAGCAAACAAAAGCGCTTTGTTTATATTTTTGTTCCAGAAATTACTCGTTCTCATTCTTCCGAAGGTGCACAGTAAACAAAGACATCTCACAGCGAAAGGTTGTGTTTAGATCATATCCCATTAGGAACGATTATTTATATTTGCGTATTTTTAATTGCAAGGTAGATAAAAGATTGAAAAGCAAGCGAGATAAAAACAATAGTAAAAATTTCGTAGGCGATAGTGCAAATCCACGTTACTAGCATTGGCTACTATATTCGGATACTATTAATTTTAACACCAAATATTTATTGTTGAGATTACAAAAAATATGAATAAATACTTTTGGGTTCATTTTATACTAAAATGAACCCAAAATCAGTTAAAATAAAAAATATGTAAAGTTTTAAACTTCTTCAGTAAAAAAAATGTATTGTAGATATGCGGTATTATCCAATGCTAGTTACGCGGTTTTGCACTATTTCCGACAATTTTGTTTTCTAAATGACATTGAAGTGTTATTAAATTTACCTTAAATAACGGTGCTGTTTAATAAAAATATAGAATAACAATAAACAAAACTAACAATGAGCAATGTTTAAAAATGATTTAAGTACCAAAAATGCACTATATACTGATCTCTAATTTTAAATAAACTTTTTTAGGGTAAAACCATTGGTGGTTTTACCCTAAAAAATCATGGCCGCTTAATTTTAAACTGCTTCATGTTACCGCGAATGGCTTAGATTCTTAAAAATATTTCTAAACTCTTAAAAAACCTCTTGAGATACAATTTATGACAAGCTTGGAAGTTTTTGTTAATAAATTAACAAGTTTTAGCACAAATATTACAAGGCGTGAAAAACATCAAATCTTAGCCAGAGATCCAAAACATGGCCATTGCGAATTTATTCCTGGCCATTAAGTTTTACGAAGTAAAAATAATGATAATACTTTTAAATTTAAATTAAAAACAAAAGAAATTTATTGTAAAGAATTTAAAAAAAAGAAGTTCTGTATAAATGTTTACTCGTATAAATTTAGTTTTTTTGTTACAGGTAAACAAACAATAGATTTTAAAGCGCTTCACAACATTTAATGTTTTCAAATTAGCAAATGTCTTCAAATAAATAAAAAACGGCTTCGAGCCGTTTAAGTGCTTCGAGCGGGAACGAACCCGCAACCTTAGGTTGCTCTAACCACTGCACCACGGCTGCTAAAACCTAATAATAATCATTTCATTTATATCGTATCTACACTCGAATGGTTCTTCAAAGAACCTTTAAGGGTTCTTCGTGTTGACGCTGGTGGAGAACTCGTAGAGGTTCTTCAAAGAACCCTTTGCGAAGATTCTTCGAAAGAACCCTTTGCGAAGGTTCTTCGAAAGAACCTTAAAATAAGGTTCTTTAAAGAACCCGTTATAGTTTTTTAACGAACCGTTCAATATTTTAGCATTATTACTTCGTTGCACGGATACTTTTTTGACTTCTTGAACATTTTTTATTATCTGATATTTATATAATATATAACTATTTAATAGATTTTTAATATTTAATTATAATTATTTAAGATATTTAAGCTAGTTACTTAAGGCCAAAATAAAAATGCAAACAACGACTTTCCTAAATATTTTACATATATTTCAATATATGGCAAAAAAAAACTTTTTTTAAACAATTGATATAAATATTTTCAAAAAATTAACAAAAATAAATTTTATTTTACAATCCAATATATCTATGTTTATAAAATTATGTCATCAATTATAAAAAAGGTTTTCTAGTGTTAAATCCACTGTCCAATATATAAATGTTTTTGCTTGAAATTAGCTGTACGAATAAACGTGAGATTTCTGAAGTCGCATTCGTTTGAAGAATTATCTAAAATTCAATAATGGAATGAATATGTATATATATATATATATATATATATATATATATATATATATATATATATATATATATATATATATATATATATATATATATTGAGAGAGAGAGAGAGAGAGATAGATAACAATAGATAATATTGTACAATTGTATAAAATATATATATATATATATATATATATATATATATATATATATATATATATATATATATATATATATATATATATATATATATATATATATATATATATATGCTTGTAATTCTTGTCCAAAAAAGGCTTGTTAAAGTGAAATTCTATCTCTTTTCGACCACGATGTTGAGCGCACGATGGAGTGCAATTAGTAGATAAGATATCTATTGCAAATTGCTTAAATAATCAATTTTTTAAAACTTTTTCATCACCTGAAACTCAAATACAATTTATAAATACATTTCTTTTTTTCAAATTTTAAAGTATAAATATGAAGACAATCTTCAATGTAGGTATGAGAACTTATGATTGTGCTTTCATCAAGTTAGTAGACAGAAAGGAGCCTGTTCGTTTAAACATCTCACATTCCATTTTGAGTCAAATGACTTGCTGTCAGACAATAAATACAGTTTTCGATCCTCTCGCTCCACAATTTGCTAACTGGGTAACTACTGTGACTGAAAGATTGTGCATTGGATAAAGGCTGAGAGGCAAGGGCTATTGCTCTTAACTTATCTAAGGCTTTCAACAAAGTTTGGCATGTTAGTCTTCTCCATAAGCTTGATTCATATGGTGTATCTGGAAGAGTTTTTGAGATTATCAAATCGTTTCTTTGTAATGGTTTATAAAGCTCATCATCAAAAGCCAACATTCTTATTCATTTCCAGTAATTTCTGGGGTACCTCAAGGTTTTATTCTTGGTCTTGTTTTGTTTTTTATCTACATTATTAATTTTTCCAGCAACATTACATATAAGGTAACTCTTTTTGCTGATGACTCAACTTTATACTCCTGTCTTGACAAAAAGTCTTCTGTTTTAGATTGCTTAGAACAGGCAGCCGATCTTGAATCTGACCTCACTTCTTCGTGCTCATCATTTCCTCTCTCCTGATTCCATTCTTCACCTCTACTAATCTCTTATTTGCACCTGTATGGAAAACTGTTGTCATATTTAAGCTGGCTCTTCTTATGATGCTCTTTCTTTTCTAGACAAGGTCCAAAAATGCATTGTAAATATAGTTGGACTTGGTCTATCTTCTAAGCTCAAGTCTCTTTCCCATCATCTTAAAGTTAGATCTTTCTCTTTTCTACAAATACTATCATGGTCACTGCTCTAAGAAGCTTTTATCTCTAGTTCCATGTACTAAAACTCATTCTCGCTTGACTCTTCATTTAACAAAGTCTCATTCATTTTACTTGATGATTGGGTGGTGGAATCGCATAACCAGTAGCGTTCCGTAGCATTTTTGCGGCATGAAATTTCCCTCCTACCCAATGGGATTGCTTAAAACCGACCACGTGATCAATGACGCGATGATCATGTGACTTGAGTAACCAATGGTATTGCTTAAAAAGGCAAAGTCTGATAGGTTGAAAGTGGTTCTGTTATAAAAAAGGAAAAAATCGTTCCAGCATTGTACCACGTGACCGTTAAGTGACCAATGGGGCATTGGGCATGGGAATCAGACGTCATACTCTGCGTCATAGTGTTGGTGCGCATGCGCACCCCCGCAAGGGGGGATGCGCGGCATGCGCCTTCAGGATTAGGTCTAGACTGGTAAGCACGTCATCAGATTAAAAAAAAGTGTACTGCGCATGCTTTGTGCGTCAAAGCTTCTATTTTTATCACCTTCAGGATTAGAATGAGACAGGTTAGTGCGTTAAAGCTTAAAAAAAAGTGTACAGCGCATGCTTTGTGCGTCAAAGCTTCTATTTTTATCACCTTCAGGATTATAATGAGACAGGTTAGTGTGTCAAAGCTTAGTTTTTTTTGATTTATCCTAATTTTTTACAATGGATGATAGATCAATGTGAATTTGTTGAAAGTCATTTGTTTTTACCACCTTTAATACTTCTTTCTAGCCAATTTATAAAATATTAAAAAAATGTCACCACCTCAAGTAGAAGATGAAGACATAACTATGAATAGAAGCGAATCAGAATCAGAGTTAGAATATAATGTGAAAAAGAAAAAAAGAACAAGACGTATGAAAAAACAAAAAGTAAAACGAGTTGAAATTATACAAATATGTAGAGGAAATTGTAATTATTATTGTAACTTTGTAAAAATAAAAATAAAAAGTCAATTATAAATTGCAGTTTTTTTTTTGTTTTTTTTTAATTTTTTTAAAAAAAAAAAAATATGTTCCTTATCTAATTATATTTTTTTATATTTTTTAGATTAAAAATTAAAAAAAATGGCAAGCAACATACAAAGTTGTTGTTTTTGCGAAAAGGACTTCACAATAAATGATTTATTAAAACATCAAGTGTTATGTCATGCAGTGTTTTTTGAAGAAAAAAAAAGAAAAACAAATAAAAACTTTATTATGATTAATGATAATGAAATGAAAGAAGTCTTTTCTGAATGTGATTGCGGAGGTCCGCATCCTCATCGAAAATGTGCTTTGTGCAACGAATCTTTTGGTACAAAGATCCTTTTTAATGAACATTATGCGTCGTGTTCTACTCAAAAGATATCAAAGTTAGAAGAGGATATAAATAAAATAGAGAATCATGTGGATAGAAAAATGAAAGATTTTCAAATGATACAAGAAAGTATGAATTATGTAAACACAGCACTCAATTTAACAATAAAAGAGGGTTCAAAGGTGGATAAAAAAATTGAAAATTTGGAAACAAAGTTAAGTATTTTACAAATGGTTTACAAACAACCTGATGTACTTTTTTCTAGCTATAAAGATAAATTAAGAAGCATTGTGGAATCTGTTAAATTCGAATTAGAACAAAAGAAAAATGAATGTGATAAACCTTATGATGTACCTACGCGAAAAAAACTTTTTATTTGTCTAGATAATATGACACTACGATTGCAATCGAATGAACCGTATTATAGTAAACCTTGTTTTACAGAAGAAGGTTATTGTTTTCGAGTGAAAATATTTGGTTATCAAAAACCAGAAACCTTGGCTATTTATGTTCAGATTTTAAAATCTGAACATGATCACATGTTAATCTGGCCGATGAAGAATCATGTTCATTTTTTTATCAAAAATAATCATCATGAAATGTTGCTAAGCTTTCCAACATCACGACATATCGAAAGTTTTGATAGACCTGTTTATGAAGCAAATATTACGTGCGGTTATGATAACTTTATTAAACACGATCAACTCAAAAATTATATAATCAATGATAAACTTTGGATTTAAGTTTATTTTACTTGATGTATTTTTTTTTTATATTAATAAAAAAATAATTGAATTTTTAATTGTTTTTTTTTTTAAAAAATTTCATAAATTATAATTTTTTTTTTTACTAAAATAAAATATGTTATATTAGCTATAAATATTTTTTTATTTTTTTTAGGTAATTAAAAAAAATGGAAGATTTAATTTTGTGATCAAATGAATTAGTCTATGCTAATGTTAGATCGTTAAAATATTGTTTGGCAATTCCGTATGGTTCCGCAGAAAAAATAAACAATGCTCTAGATTTAATAAACTATATAAGAATGTATTCTCTAAAAATTGATGGAAAAGAATATACTTCAATGGAAGAGAAATTGGGTTATTTTAAGTATTGTTTAAATTTAATCGGTAGAAAAGATTTATATGCAAAATATCAAAACTTGCATTACGATGAAAAAAAAGCTTGTTTTTATAAAAGTATAATACCTACTGCAGAAAGGATTTTGAATGAAGCTCCCCCTAGTTACGAAGAAGCATGCAAAGAAAACAAGATACCAACACAAGGAAAATATTAATAAAAAAAATATTATATTTGTATTATTTTTATTTTTATTTTTACAATAAATATTGTTTTACTGCATAAAAAACATTTTGTATTTTATCACAGCAATGTTCTTTATCTTTATTCAAATAAAACGGAGACTGCTCTATAATAATAAGATATGCTAATTTCTTTATCATTTCCTTAATTAATTTAACGCGAACGTATTCTTTTTGTTCAAAATAGTTTATAATAATAAAATAACAATACAAGTTTTGTAAAACTTGTATCGATTGCTTAATAAGTGTTTCTAGTATTTCGCTATCTTCTGGATATATATCTTCAGGATCTTCAATATATTTACACGCTAAATTGTTCATTAAAAAACAAACTTGTTGTAAAAATAAGCCATTTTTATTAATAAACTCTTTTTCTTCTACCGAATCATATGAATAATCTTTTTTTATATCATCAACATTAAATCCTTTCTGATCTTTGCGAATGCTATCTAATAATAAACAATTGTACGATTTCTTTTCTATACGCTTTTTTAATTGTTCTCCGTAATCAATTAAAGAATCTATATTTTTATTATACTCTAACTTTGTTAAACTCATTTTGTATTTTTTTTAAAATAAATAAAATGTTTTTTTTTTCAATTTATTACAAAAAAAAATTTAAAACAAAATAAACTATATACAATATTTAAAAAAATATATATAAAAAAAATTATTTACAAAGTTATATACAATTTTAAAAAAAAATAAAAAAAAAAACCCAATGGATATCAATCTTGATATTGCATTGGGTTATCAAGTCAATATCTCCGTTTAATAGCAATTTTCTCTTGCATTGCCTGTCTGATTGCGTCAATTGTGTTGGTTGTGCATATGCAACAGCCTGTGCACGCTTCCTGCAACCCGCAACGACGGTGGCAACAAGGTCTTCGCGGTCTTAAAGGAGCGAAGCACAGGCAGCAGCCTAAGCAAACTGATTCAATGGACGGTACTACAAAAAAAAAATTATTTATAATTTTGCTATGCAATATAATATAACTAAATAAATAACAAATAAAACAAAATAAATAAATATTAAATTATTACAAACTACAGGTATATTGCGATCATAATTTGGTTGTGCTACTTGTGGTACATCACCATCATCATCATCATCATCATCATCATCATCATCATCATCATCATCATCATCATCATCATCATCATCATCATCATCATCATCATCATCATCATCATCATCATCTTCATCATCATCATCATCTTCATCTTCTACAATCTTAAAAAAAAAAAAATATTGGGCATTGGGTTATCAAGCCAATATCTCCGTTTAATAGCAATTTTCTCTTGCATTGCCTGTCTGATTGCGTCAATTGTGTTGGTTGTGCATATGCAACAGCCTGTGCACGCTCCCTGCAACCCGCAACGACGGTGGCAACAAGGTCTTCGCGGTCTTAAAGGAGCGAAGCACAGGCAATAACTAAATAAATAACAAATAAATAACAAATAAAACAAAATAAGGCAATAACTAAATAAATAACTTAAAGGAGCGAAGCACAGGCAATAACTAAATAAATAACAAATAAATAACAAATAAAACAAAATAAGGCAATAACTAAATAAATAACAAATAAAACAAAATAAATAAATATTAAATTATTACAAACTACAGGTATATTGCGATCATAATTTGGTTGTGCTACTTGTGGTACATCACCATCATCATCATCATCATCATCATCATCATCATCATCATCATCATCATCATCATCATCATCTTCATCTTCTACAATCTTAAAAAAAATATAATACAAATAAAAAAATAATATAAATAAAAAAAATATAAATATAAAAAAAAACAACAACTATAGTTACTGCTTCTGGTGGTGGAGCAATTGGCCGAAAAAATAAATTCTGAATTCTTTCTCTAACTTCTCTTTGTTCTTCTATTTTTCTCCTCTCCTCTTCAGGCAGGTCATCCTCAGGATTATAAGGTTCTACAATCTAAAAAAACAAAAAAAAAAAATAATATAAGATAAATAAAAAATAGAGTATAAAATAAAAATAATATAATTACAGCGATCGGTTTGTTGTTTTGTTGATTCATTTTTTCTTATACAAATGATTATATTAAAAAACATATTTTTTTTTTTATATATATTTAATGCGTTACGCATATTAACTTTATTTAAATAAAAAGATTAAAATAAAAAAATTTAATTTAAATAGAAGGATTATTTATTTTATTTTTAACCTAGCATTGACGCACTAAGCTTGCGCAGTACATTTTTTTTTAATCTGTTTTAATCTCACCTCTTAAACAATAAGATCAGAAGGCGCATGCCGCGCATCCCCCCTTGCGGGGGTGCGCATGCGCACCAACACTATGACGCAGAGTATGACGTCCGATTCCCATGCCCAATGCCCCATTGGTCACTTAACGGTCACGTGGTACAATGCTGGAACGTTTTTTTCCTTTTTTATAACAGAACCACTTTCAACCTATCAGACTTTGCCTTTTTAAGCAATACCATTGGTTACTCAAGTCACATGATCATCGCGTCATTGATCACGTGGTCGGTTTTAAGCAATCCCATTGGGTAGGAGGGAAATTTCATGCCGCAAAAATGCTACGGAACGCTACTGGTTATGCGATTCCACCACCCAATCATCATTTACTGTATCTGTCCCTGCATGCTCCAAGAACTTATATTCGTCTAGTTTTTTTCCACACACTTTAGAGCTCTTTCAACCGTTAAAACTATCTATCTTTTTTCAAACCTTTGGAGCTCCCTCTCATCTTTATGTTTTCCTAACTCATACAAACTACATCTTTTTAACTCTTCTGTTAACCGTCTCCTTGCTTATAACTATATTCTTTTTTTCTAGTAACTCTTAACTTAATAGTGGTTGCTTGCAGCCACTATTAAGTTTTTTTTCTTATCTATTTTGTTTTTTGTTTTGTTTTGACAAGGAAGCACACTCAATTGCGACTTTTTATTTTTGTTTCTTATTTTGTATTACATTGTTAATTGTTTTTAGACATGAAACAATATATAATAAAAAAAAACAATATAAATATGTTGAAAATTGCACTGAAGTTTGCTTGTATTTTTTTTTTATTCTGATTCACTCCAAACAAGGCTCCACATTTTTGAGTTTTGAGATAAAACGATTTAAAAAACTAAAAAACTTTAGGAGACGGCGTATAACTTATGTTTTTTCTGCAACGTTTTTACTTATAAATTAGATTTCAATTCAGTAGAAAGTTAAAATGCTAGGAGTGAATCAGAATAAAACAAAATAAAAAAATCATGATGGTAACCATGTATTTAGACTCAATATAGGTACAGCCATCTTGTAGTATATAGTATCAAGCAGTTGATAATCACAAACTTCATTTGGTAAACATATTGGCAAAGATTCATACTCTTAAACTCTGAATGTGTTAATTTAACTTATCTAAGCCGTAACCACATCCAGCGGGATAGCCTAATGTCCGTTTTGTCGTTGTGGTGTACATTAGAAAAAGTCGGGGCTCACCAGCCACAAAGAATAAATTTTTTGCATATGCGACACAATGATCGCAATACATACATATGTGCATATATACATGTGTCACAAAGTAGCAGCTTACCGCAAAATACCCAGAATTGTCATAATTAAATAATATTTTGAAAAACAAAGCAATTTCTTCAGTTTTTAATAAAGATAAAAAAAATGTATTGTACAAATGAAACTGAATCCAATTTATATTACTAGCATTACATTTACAAATAGTTTCTTTTTTATCAAAAACATCATTGACAACAGTGAACTCCTGATATCTTGAACCCCGGATAACTAAAAAAACTTTTGAGTTCCCCTTGAACCCTTGCTAACACTTTCTTATAAAAAATCACTCAATAACTCAAGCCCCTGATAACTCGAACATTCACCTGATAAGTCAAACTATTTTATTTGTTCAAGTGGCTGATATTTTGCCTATAACTCGATCTTTAAAAGAAAAATAACACAACGTCTTATTAAAGTGATTAATTTTTTTCATGAAATCAAATTTATTTGATTTTCTCCATATCACTCAAAAGAAATATTTTGACATATTGAATGTTCCGATAACTCAAACATTCTCTAACTTGAATTAATTTCTTGGCCCCCTGGAGGTTTGAGTTATTGGAAGTTATATATATATATATATATATATATATATATATATATATATATATATATATATATATATATATATATATATATATATATATATATATATATATATATATATATATATATATATATATATATATATATATATATATATATATATATATATATATATATATATATATATATATATATATATATATATATATATATATATATATATATATATATATATATATATATATATATATATATATATATATATATATATATATATATATATATATATATATATATATATATATATATATATATATATATATATATATATATATATATATATATATATATATATATATATATATATATATATATATTGTTCAAGTGAAATCGTTAATAATATATTTTATATTCAATTGATTAACAACGTCATGTTTGGTTATATATTATCTTTATTATTATATGGTGATATTTTGGCTTATATAGTATAAACCATTATCAAACTGAAAAAACTGTTATACAAAATTCATAAAAACTAAAATCAAAAATAATGTTATTGCAATGTTGCAGATTTAGACTTAAGTTTAACAAAAAGTGGTCTCTAATGGCGTGTCTTCACTAAGTTACCATTGTCGCAATTTGTTGATAATAACCATAATGGACTAACCAATCAGACAAGAATTTTTGTCCCATAAAAAATAACATTTATTTACACAAAGTTCAATAAGCTTGTGAATATCTATTAATGACAATTTAGTTCGCATCTTAAGATTATCTTTATCTTTGCTTAGAATATCAATTATATAGCTATTGTTGCTTTATCTAGTGGAAAATTTTGTGTAGGATCGACAGCAGAAATAGTGTAGTTACCAAGTTGATTTTGATTTTTTTCATTGCTGATTCTGAATCTAAAATAGCAAATCCACATCCTTTATCAAAAGGGTATATCTTTATTTAGTTCGACCTTCTCTAAACACTGGCTGAAAATGACAGTGCCTTTCAAGTTTTCAGCATCATTGACAGCTTTCGAAAGTTTGGTCTCATTGTTTCTGCATGTTTTGGCAACAAGTTGGATTGCACTTATGCAGAAAAAATTGATTCATTCAGAGATTCATATTTGGCATTGCCAAGAGGAAGCATCACTCCAAAAGTACATGCAGTGTTTTTCCATGTTAACGACTTCATCCAAAAAACAAGGTCTCCTCTTGGAATCTACAGTGAGCAAGCAACAGAATCTATTCATCATTGTTTTCAGAACCATTGGCAACGATACAAACGACCTATCAGCCATCCATATTATGGAAAAAAGCTAGAAATGTGCCTAGTTGATTTTAACAGCAAAAGTCTGTGAACAGTTTGGAATTTGTAAAGAATTTTTTTTGTCAAGAATGTTGTTGCTTTATATGTGGAATTTATTTTAATATTTCTTTTGTATTTACCCACATGATCTTTTACCTATTTGGATTACTACCAAACTATTATTGAAATTATTCTAGAGTTAACTTATTAGAAAAAACTTTCAGAAAAGCAATATTTTACCCAATTGATCTTTTACCTATTTGGATTACTACCAATTTTATAACATAAAATCTTTCACACTTTCATATTTTTTGTTTCTTTATTATGTTAAGTAGGTTTTATTATTTTCAAAGAGCTTTTTGAATGTTAAGATATGCTGTAAAAACGTAAAATTTCGAGAATGCTGTCATTTCATGAATATGTGCAAAATAAAAATTTTCAAAAGTGATTTTCTTTCTCGGACGTAATAGGATGATTTGATTTTTTATATTTTTGGAACCCAGGAGTCATAAGCTTTCACAGGCATATTGTGGTTTCTTTGGAATTTGAGTTGACACTAATTGCTCATTTAGGAGAACGGTGATCTTACCTCTTACCTCTGATCATTCTCAGAAACCATATATCAAATCCATTTCAAAATAAAATAGCATGCATTTCCTTATCAGGCTTGCCACATTCTTACTATTGATTCTGCCATACTTTTATGGAATAGTTGCCATATCTGGGGTGGACCTTCCAATGATGCTCTTTCTCTTTTTGATAAGGTGCATAATCGTAAACATAGTTGGATCTGTTCTTGCAGCCAACCTCTAAACATTGTCACATCTTAATGTTGCTTCTCTTTCTCTTTTCTACAAATACTATGATTACAACTTAATTGACAAAACCTTCAAAAATTGACTAAACAATTTTATCTCTCCTAAAGAAAACATGTCATCTCCAAAACCATCTGATATATATTACTTTAAACTCCCTTATATTGGAAAATTTTCAAATACATTTCAACATCAATTAACTAAATACATTTAAAATATTGTAAAGATAATATAAAAGCAAGACTAGTTTTTACAACTTTTAAAATAAGTAGTATGATTTCATCAAAAACCCCTAACCCCCAAATTTAAAATCCTTTGTTGTCTATAAATTTGTTTGCTCCAGCTGTAATGCTGGATATATTGGTGAAAACACCAGACACTACACAACAACGGTTTCAGAACATTTAAATTCAGATAAGACATCCTATATTTACAAACATCTTACTTCAACGCAAAAATGCAAAAACTCAACTGACTCTTTTTCTATTATTGTCAGAGTTTCATCATGGTAATTACTTATCTTATAAAATGTAATTATAGTAACAATTGTAAAAATATTAAATTTTTAATGCAGCCAAATAAATTGTTTATATATAGAAATTGTAATTTTTTTTTTACCTGATGATATCAATTAATGTTGATAAAAGATATCAATTAATGTTGTTAAAAAAATTTTTTTTTTAATTGTTATTCATTTGAAAATTATATAAATATATAGAATAGAATAGAAAAGGTGCTGTACACACTTGAGGTGTGTATAGTCTTAATTACGTAGAATTAAAACTATGACAGCCGATTACAAAAATTAGTGTTCAGAAACCGAAATAATTATTGAAACTGTTTTTAAAAATG